CGGGGCCTGCAGGGGGGGGGGCTCGGTTCGGCTCGGCTCGGCTCGGCGGTGTCCAGCCCTGAACCAGCTCGCCTGAGCGAGCGGCGCTGCCCGCAGCCGCCGGGGCTCCCTCGCCCTGCTCCCCGGCAGCTGCCTTCCAGCTAGCTTGGGTGACAGCTGCAATTAGCGGGGTCACGGCTAATTACCTTACACTGCAGTCCACGGCGCTCCAGAAGGGCGAGAGCTGTTTGATGTGTTCTGCTCGATGCAGAGTTTAAGGTGGATTCTTTTTCCTGTCAGAAAGTTTTAAGAAAAGCAGAAAAGGTGGCTGTGTGTGTCAGCGCCTGAGAGGCGGGATCCCGAGCCAGGCAGGCTGCAGCTGTCGCCTGCTGCTTGTGCCGGCGTGCTGTTCTGCTTGAGAAATACTGTTGATGCTTCGTTATGGTTCAGTTCCACTTCTCCTATTTATTCAGCTTCACTTCAGAGATCTCCCCTCCTCCTCCTAGGCAGTCCAGCCTCGTTTGCTCAGAGCATTTTTCTACTTTTTTTTTTTTTCCTTCTAAGATACGTCTTCCTGTCTTTCCCCTTTTCAGTGGTGTCATGGTCCAGTATTCTTTCACTCTGCTTAATTCTTCTTCCCCTTGTCAGCCAATCCCAACTGACAGAAGGGGTCTGACAGCAGGTTATGTCCTCCTGTAATTTGCCTGGAAACCTCCCAGAATGTTTAGTTATGTCTGAAAGTGAAAAAAACACTGCAAGAATAGCAAGTGAGCAGCTTCTTCAGCCTGAAGGAAGAATGAGGATATAACAATTGAAAAACATGAACACAGAGTAGAATATAATTTAAAACAATTCTTAATTAGTTCAAAGAGTTGTGTATTGACAGAAGAGTGGTAATTTTATTCTCAGGAAGACGCTTTTTTTTGATATTGCTTTAATTCCAGCGTTTCCGCTGATACATTGTACAGCTGGAACGTCTGTTACTGGGCTTCACGCTGGTAACCCACAGGCATCTGGTGGGATGTGCTCTCCTGCTCTGCCCCCCTGCACCAGGCTGCCAGTGGTGGGATCCCTCTCTCCTCACTCCTACAGCTTCCGCGATGGTCACGTCTGAGAGAACGTGCCGCTTGACAGAGGGAAATCTGTCTCTCCAGTCTTCTCTTTCTGGTATATAACCTGAGTATCTGCTTGCCTTTCGGCCAGATTTTATAAGAAGATCCCTGCTGCGCCTGCAGGGAAGCTGGTTGGCTTGACTGCCTTATCATCCAGAGGGAATTCCCAAAAGAGAATTCACTTCAGGATGATCCAAATCCTTTTCAGTAGTAGTAGCAAACAATTGTTTACAAATTACTCGACTGGATCCCACATCTCTGAGTGTCTTAACAGGAGAAAGCGTGTTTACTGTGTATTTCCCACTGAAATCAACAGGAAAAAATGTTGATGAAATGGTTGCTTGACTCCTGGAACACGCTTCTCCTTTGCCAAAAGGTGCTACCGTCACAGGAGGCACGGCTCGGGAAAGACTTCTTGGCTCGTACGTGCGTCTGTCTGCATCCGCTCCGGCTGAAATAAAGGTTGTGAGACTAATTAATACACAGTGGTTCTTGGCAAAATTCTGTGTGTTCTGTTGCGGCAGGTTCTGTTACGGTTTTTGTGATTGCAATTGTGTTTGTTGAAAACATTTTGAACTATCTTTCGACGCATATTATCGCCCCTAAAACTAAATCTGTAGAAGTTGCACCAGCATTACAATTTAACCCTGCATGATAACTTCACTCAAAAAACTAAGAGCTTCTACCTGCACCTCAGCAGAAAATTAGGCAGATCTTTGTCACTTTTTTCACCCTTAAATGTATGTAATGCATGTACACAAAAGTTTTACCGATACAGTGAGAACTTTAGTGTTAAAAATCCAGTTGCCAACACGAACTAAAGGTCCGTAACATGAAATACCGTTACCATTTTTCGTTTGCTTGCTATGGCAAGATGTTGGAGGTATGTGCTGGACTGCTTGTGGAAGTTAAGGTGATTCTGCAGTCATTTTCTAGAAGAAGTAAACTGCTCTTTGGAGAAAACACAATTATTTTCATATGAAATGGAAAGATGAAGAAATTAGTATAGCGATGTCTGAGCGGGATCAGGTGCCTTTTCGATTTGTCCTTTCAGGGGGCACAGGGCGAGGCTGTTGTAAATGCTTTGGAGTTTTGGCCGTATCTCTCTCAGCATAGGCAACGTGAAGTAGGATGCGACCCAGCGCCGTCAGGTGCTTCTGGACTCCGCTGTGGTTTAACTATGAGAAAACAACAAAGGGCTGACTTGCAATATCGGCTCCCGCTTCAGGTGGCCTGTTCTGTTCTGTTCTTTTCCTGCTCTTACTTCTTTCTCCTCCTGCCCTTGCCTTACCTCCTTGTCCATACTTGCTCTTGCTTCCCGGTAAGACTGCTTGGCTCTTTGCCTTTGTTGCTGCGGGTCCTGCAGGACCGCCCTTGCTGCTTGCCGCACCCCTTCCAGCGGTAATTCTCCATTAGCCCTCACAGCTCGCCGTTGCCGATCCCGTCCTCTTAGCACACACCCTGCTTCTTAATACTTCTTCACGCAGCTTCCTTCCCA